CCCTGCAGGAGCTGTTTGAGCCCCCGGCTTCCCCAGCTGCTCATGAAGGGCTGAGCTGGACCCAAAGTGGTGCCGAGCCAGGAGCACAGTGACGCTGTGCCCACCGCCAAGGATGCAGCCACTCCATCTCAGCTCTGGGGGGGTGGCTGAGCTGGGAGAATTCCCCATCCCAGGACACAGCGGCAGTAAGAGGGTGGCTGGACCCTGGATCGGCTCAGAGACCCAAGGGGAGTGCTGGGGCAGTCGCACGGGGACGGGGACAGGCCTGGTGCTGAGGGTGGGGACCGGGGACCCTCTCGCAGGACTGGAGTGCACCGAGAGGTGGTTTTGTGGTTTACCATGGGCAGGTAAATCAAAGGACAGCCCTGCCATTAGCCCTAAGAAAAGCCCATGCGTCGGACCGGTGGAAGCCGCTTTTATTTACACAAAGGGATCACATGCTGAACAAGGAAACTAGTGCCACTAAAGTACCCGTAACAGCAGGATTCTGTGCTTTATTCACAGGACAAAATATCGGCACAACATTTTTTCATAGACTTCTTTTCAAGCAGATACATCTCACTGTCCTCACGGTTACACACTGCGCTGAAGTGACAAAAGGCAAAGCAGAGCAGCCACAGCTCTGCCCGCCCCAGCACCGTGGCAGGACGTGGCCCCACCGGGACAGCCCCACAGCCGCTGCCCAGAGTCCGGGGTGTCCAGGAGCACCCATTTGCTTTGGGACACAGAGGAGGGATGTGTGTCGGAGCAGCCTGTGCACTGGCTGAAGGATGGGGCCATCACCACCGTGACCATGTGGCGGTGAAAGCAAACGGAACTCCCCGAGCAGTGCTGGCCTGTGGGACGGGCAGAGTCCGCCAGGCACTCACCCTGCAGTGCCTGCAGCAGGACTCCGTGTCTTCCCCATCTCGGAGTGTCCCGGCCTCCCGAGGGCTGGGGAAGCCCCTCGCCTGCTCTTCTCGTGGGTGCTGGGCAGGACGGGCTGGCCGAGGGGTCCTGGGCCCTCTCACGGAAGACGGCAGCTTCACGTCACCGCAGCTCTGCTCCCGGACGCTTATTCCCACCTGAAGTCCTGCCCGACTGTTTCATAGAATTTGATATTATAAGGTCTATAAAAGTCCCGAAGCTGCTCGATCACCTCGGGGTCTATCTGCACATGAGTCCTGCCTTTGGACTTGCCCAGGCAGCGAGGCAAGCCGCTGCTCTCTGACTTTTTCAGGCAAGGAAAGCCTTTCGTCTTGTTGAAGTAGAAGTGCTTGTCCGTGATAACCCGTTTGATGCCCAGGAAGTCCTGAACTTTGCCCATCTCCCCGGCTGGGTCCGTGATCAGCTTCTCCCCGCTGACAAAGTGGATCTGGGAGAGCGGGAAGTACTGGAGCCAGCTCTCCAGGTGCACGGCGTACATCCCGATGCGGATGGCATTCCAGGAGGTGTCCACCAGCCCCAGGCTGCGGTTGCGGAAGGACAGCCCCTCGAAGGTGGGGATATCGGGCTTCTTGGAGAGCGTCTGCGTGTAGTCCGAGATGGCGCGGGTGACCGGGTTCCTCACCACCACGATCAGCTTCGTGTCCCGGGACATGTTGAAGATCCGCCGGGGGGCCTCCTTCGTGACAAAGTAGCTGGGGGTCTTCTCCACCGTGATCTGGCTGTCGAGCGTTCGCGGCATCAGGCTCCTGCAAGCGAAGCAGAAGGTGATGGTGAGGAAGGAGCCAGGCCAGGTACCGGGAGGGGTGTAGGCGCTGTGGGGCTGCCGGGTGTCCCCTCCCAGCAGGACAAGGCAGGCACAGCTCCCTCCC